CTTAGATTTGTACATATTTAGTTTTTTCTACCGAGCTCGGCTGTGCAAATCTCGGCAAAAAAAGTTTCACTGAGATCTAAGCAAAAGTAACATTTGATTGCTGAGTCTCGGATAATGCTTAGCTGAATCTCAGCAAACAAATGAAATGTTTTCTGAGATCTCAGTAAAACTATTTTTGCCGAGATTTGAACAGCCGAGCTCGGTAGAAAAAAACTAAGTGTGTGGGTTTCTGAATTTCCGATAACACCAGGGTCTTCCATTGTTTTTGGAGCTTCCGGAAGTTATTGGGGCTCTAGAAGTCATACAAATAAGACGAATTACTGTTAAAGCAGATATTACCACGAGGGCCACATCCACAGGACGTAGTTTCATGCGTTAATCTATCAATGGTCAAGGTGATTCTGTTCCATAACCAGTAATTGCAAACTTCACGAATGTTCCCTTGATGAATTTCTTGAAATAAAGGGTGATACGGTCAAAATTTGGTCAAGGGAAAACGCGTGTATATCGGTGAAATCGTTTATTTAAAAAATCAAATTAAATTTCTTTTTCAAGTTCAATTAATATAAAATTCAGGAAAAATATTCAGTTAGGCTACCTTGTCCACCTTCTTCGCCGCAGAAAGCCAGTTTGCCTTGAACTGCTGCTCGCCCTTAGCAGTTTTTTGGTCTTCTTTAGGTTCCGCTTGACAATAGCCCAGTATTTCTCAATTGGGCGAAGCTCTGGCGTGTTGGGAGGGTTCTTGTCCTTGGGAACCACCTGCACGTTGTTGGCGGCGTACCACTCCATGGCCTTTTTACCGTAATGGCAAGATGCCAAATCCGGCCAAAACAGTACGGAACAACCGTGTTTCTTCAGGAAAGGCAGCAGACGTTTATTCAAACACTCTTTCACGTAAATTTCTTGGTTGATAGTCCCGGAAGCTATGAAAATGCTACTTTTCAAGCCACAGGTACAGATGGCTTGTAAAACCAGATATTTCTTTGCGAACTTTGACAGTTTCATGTGCTTGAAAACATCTGCTACCTTTCCCCTTCCTTTTGCCGTATAAAACTCCTGTCCCGGAAGCTGCTTGTAGTCGGCTTTGACGTAGGTTTCGTCGTCCATTACCACGCAGTCAAACTTCGTCAGCATCGTCGTGTACAGCCTCCGGGATCGCGCTTTGGCCGTCGTATTTTGTTTATCATCGCGATTTGGAGTCACTACCTTCTTGTAAGTCGATAGTCCGGCTCGTTTTTTGGCTCGATGCACGGTTGTAGACGATACACCCAGCTTATTTGCGGCATCTCGGAGAGAGAAGTTAGGGTTTCGCTTGAAACTACCGGCAACTCTCTTTGTCGTCTCAGCGGCTTCCGGTTTTCGATTTCCCCCCGATCCAGACTTCCTGGCTGTCGACAAACGTTCCCCAAACACTTTAATTACATTTGTAACGGTTGATTTGGCAACTTTTAGCGATTTTGCCAACTTTGCGTGCGAGTAGCTCGGATTTTCGCGATGCGCGAGCAAAATTTTGATACGCTGCTCTTCTTGCTTGGACGGCATTTTGACAACTGAAGAGTGAATTCCAAAATCAAAATAGGAGCAACATTCTACACACACACACCTTCAAAATGAGGGGTGTTCAGGTTTTTTAAATGCAAAATTGAAAGAAATACATCAAGTTGATATTGACCAAATTTTGACCGTATCACCCTTTATAGTGAACTTTTCCTCCTTAGCATTTAATACAACATTGCGTTTAAAAAATCGTTATGTAATCATGATCTTCATCCTTTATAGAACTCTACATGAAAATGTTGCTTTTTCTTAACTAATTGTAGACAACTTTTCCTTTCCAAATTTTTAGAAAGTATTCGTATAACTTACATCAAAATAGCAAAATAGTCCTTTGATTATTTTTTCTTGGAATAAAATCTTTTGAAAATAGCTGAACAATTAAATAAAATTTTATTTATAGGTGTATGAAGTTTAATGCCCAAGTAACAATTTAGCAGCCTTTTGGCTTTCACACTGATTTATTGTTGTTTTATAATGGCAACAAGCAATCTTTTTAGTTTAAATACAGCATTTAAAAGTGCAACACATGCTTGATCAGTATTTCAGCATTTTTCAAAACCTTTTCTGACGATAAAGTCAAAACGGGTCTGGTTTTAAAAATTAATTTAAAGCAGCACTCTATCCCTGTATAAAACTGTTAAGTTAGTCAATCATGCTCGGTATTTTTTTATGCCACGACAAAATACTCCATAAAGGTATTTTATCATTATAAATGCAATTATAAAACCGGGTTTCAAACGGGAACAAAAAGTATATATTGTATATCACAAAACTCCCTACTGTTTACAAATTAAACTAAAAATATGGTTCCGCCTAGAGACAGAGAAAAATATTTCGATTGGACCTTTTAAACAAAGTATCACAAGGCAATGACAAAGGATAGTCGAATAATAATATTAGCGATAGTAGAAGGAATAATTGTAGCGATGCTGTCGACGGAAAGGAAAAGGACTCCAATTCCAGAATTTCCTGGGAAACCCAGCAGTTCTGAATGAACCTGTCAACAACACAGCAAAAAAATAATTTTGATATCACATCAAAGTGGATGCACTACAATCATGTCGAAAATTTCATGTAATTTTTATGACCACATAAATAAACAAATGCAGTAAAAGCACCGTAATGTCAGTTCATGCATTGTATTAATGATAATTTTGTCCTTTTTAGCAAGTAATATTACACCATATTTTCGATATGATTGTAGTGCATCCGCTTTGACGTGATATCAAAATTATTTTTTTGCTGTGAATGACAGAACAACCGACGGAAAAGAGTGAGTGAATGCAGTTCACGAAGCACTGGAAGCCGTCAAATTAGACGCTTAAAATTGATGGGAATACCCAAAATATTGTCAATGGCGTTTGCGACATAATAAACACAGACCAACCTTCTCCAGAAAGCATGTATCAGTTCCAAACTGGAAACTGACTGCCTTCCGGACTATAGCAGTAGCTTCATTCGGTGAAAGGGTCAATTGTTCCAAAAATTCAAGCAAGCGCACATTAATTTCCTCGGATCATCGGAGAGAAGGGAAACTTTGTGGGAACGATTGAGCTTCCACCTGTTCCAAGATATGCAGATACACTTCCTGATTAACTGCTTCCAATGGATCGAGGATGCCACGCAACTTGTTGATCCAACGCAGGAGTAGAAGCTCTGTGCAATGATCGCAAATGTAAACAAATTTTGACGTTTAACTTTTTCCAGGCACCATTAATGCCGTCATAAAACTAAATGGAATAGGATCAAGCAAAATGGCCTCAGATAAATACAATTCAGCCTGCAAATTATCTTTATTAAAGCCAAATTTAAACGTTTTGTATTTGTTAGCGATTTCATGAAAGCAAAATAGCTTTTTCACAATTGGCCTATGGAAAATCAATTTTTATGCCACCGCCATATTGCAATTACATTTGTTTTTTTCTACTACCTTCGTTTTTCAAGATGTTTTTCCATGAAAATAACTTTAATCTCATAAATTCATCAATGAGCAGTAATAGAGATTCTGGAAACCATTACATTATCTCGGCTGGACGCAATGCTTGATATAAAACATTGCTATACGTTGTTTCCTAAATTAAAAATAATAAGTACGATTTCGATTTCCGAAGGTGGTTCGATCTTTCGAAGCGCTTTTCATATTAGATTTAATCTATCACCTAAAAATAGACCACAAAATAAGAACTGCTTTGATAATTTTGGTAATTCTTTCACATTAGATGAGGAAATTAAAAAAAAAAAATTGAAAGATTAATTTTCGAAAAATGAATTTGGCAAGATCTGATGACATTTATGTATCCCTTTTTATCTTGATTGATGCTTTATTTTCAGTGCGGTTAGCAAGCGTCAAAGACAAATGGCACAAGTATTGATGCCAAATGGCTTTTATTGTAGTTTTGATAAGGATTTCAAATAATTTTCAATGCTTTCGCCGTATAACCTTTTTGCAGCAAATCAATCTTGAAGTACCTCGAAATTATGCCCTTCAAAACCTTCTTCGGGGTGGGCCAACTAGACAGATTCTAGTCTTAATGAGGTGTTGGTGGATGTAATAAAGGCAAAGCCGTCTTGACCAGGGTTTTATGAATGTTGTTTTATAGCAGCCTTGTAGTATTTCATAAAACGTAAAATGTTACTTGGGGCGTAATGTTTTTGCCAAAGTTAGAAATACATTGATAAGATTTACTTTGCATTGATCATTAATTTTTTTTTTAAGATTTGACACATTTTGCTGCGGGGGCACCATTTTTTTTTATGGCGAGAAGTAATATATAAAATGAAATATCCAGTCGGTCAAATGTCCTTTCGTCCATTTTTTTAAGACAAGTTAAAGTTAATTATATACTTATTCTAACATGATGGTGATTACTAGCTAAATATGTCCATGTTTTTTTCTGAGTTCACCGAGCAGAAGGTCATGTCTTCGCAACCTGCCTCGTTCATGTTTATGGTTGTTTAAAAATGTAATTTTTATTCTGACTCATACTCATTCTCTCACTCTTCATTTGCCTATGGATTTAAAAATAAACTCGCTCCACTAAAGAAAAACCTGTACCACCGATCGCATTACATACTTTCGACCACATTAAGAATCTTCATAAATACTCCATAATAAAATAATCCTTACCGCAACATGTATGGACATACTCATATAATCTCGGTCTCTTAACAAAGGCTGTCTATTTGAAAATCATCCAATGTCAATGCGATCACACGCTTGGCTGAGAAAACAGTGTTTGCACAGAAGAAATGAGAAGACAAACCAGATCGTCTCAAACCGATCTTGACAACATTCTGTCAGGCATTACACATTGGAAAGTGATTCCCAAGAGAATGCACTGACTATCCCGTCTGTCTGTTAGGAGCTCAATAATGTCTATCTTAGAAACCGGTCTCCTGTTCCCGGTCGATAGTCCTCTCACAGCGTAATCAATATTTCGATTATGATCGAAATTCATTCTCCCGAATGCGATCAGTTGTCGGAAATGATTCGTTTAGGAAAGTGCTACTACTGTTCGTTGCGGTTGGTGCTTGCGATGCTGGCGATTATAGCAGTATCAGCAAGAAGATCCTCGAAACCAGTTGGAAGCCGTACCGTGAGTACCCGATCAACTCTTCGGAAATGAGCATGAAGCTTTAAGCTTCCCCCAATTTTTTCAGGTGACCAAAGCTGCCCAATATGGGATGCAACCCGAGAAATATACAGCCCTCACCGAAGATGGCTACCAACTGGTCATGTATCGAATGATGCCAAAAAGTTCGTCCCGTGGACTCGTCTTGCTACAGCACGGCATCCGTCAATCGTCCGCCGATTGGTTGAAAATAAACCAAAACCTCCCGAAGCAGCTCCTGTCCGCCGGCATGGAAGTTTGGCTGGGAAATTCACGAGCATCTCTAGAATCGGCCGGTCATACCTATCTCAATAAGGATTCTACCGAATTCTGGGACTTTAGCTTTCACGAGATTGGCTACTACGACCTGGCTGCCATGATCGATACTGCCTTGGCGAGATCGAAACGGAATAAGCTCCATTTGGTCGCCTATTCCGAAGGATCGACAGCTGCTCTGACGTTGCTTTCGGAACGACCTTCGTACAATGCCAAGGTCGCATCCCTAAACCTGATTGCCCCAGCCACGTTTCTCGGCAATAGTCACGTCAGAGGACTGGCTACTCTGCTATATAGGCTTCGATTGCTCCTTCCTTGGAGTCTTCAGAAGCTTGTTACGGGTAGTGATGAGCCGTATGAAAATTCGCCAAAACAGCTGGAACACTTTCAACAGCTGTTGGTTACGGGCCGCTTTCACCAGTACGATTACGGTTTCTGGGATAATCAGAAGCGCTACGGCGGGGATAATCCTCCGCCTTATTCACTTTGGCGAGTGACTGCTCCCGTTACCCTACACGTCGGCGGAGCCGATAGAGTGGTGCATCCCAAGGACGTCCGGAAGCTGGCGAGGCAGCTGCACAGAAGCTCCAGTGTTAGGATGATTCAACATGAAAGATTCGATCATAGAGATTTCCTGAGCCTACCAGATGCTGCCCGCGAAGTGTATCCCCGGATTACAAGTGCCATTATGCAGCGGTTGCGATAAGGCTTCAGTGTAATTTCCTAATTCAAATCGTCATAATCGTCTTTTCATATAGTAATAATAAAAGGCGGGAACCATTTCGCTCGCATGCGTTCAAACCGGCAACGCTCGTAACCTGACACGGCATTAAAAGCTCAAAGCTCACTCAGTTTGCGGTTTAGAGAATTTCCATGAATCTCCTGCGCTAGGCATTATTAGGGGTCCTACTGTGGTGGTCGAGTAAATTTTATGTTTTAAAAAATACTCTCCTAAATTTTTCCTATTAAAAAAAAGTCGGAATTTGCTAATGCCTTTATTGAATTGCGATTTTGAAAGATTGTTGACGGTGGAATAATTCAATCAAATGAAGTGCTAATGACGTGACCTTCACTGTACATTTTCCTTCGCAGACAACGCTCTTCTTCTTCCTTTGCGAGGATTTGAAAAATGTAAGTTTTATTCGTATGCCACTTTATCGTTTTTATAGTCATCGTTCTCGTCCTCGTCGTCGTCGTCGTCGTCGTCGGCCGGGAAACGATTTCCATACATCTTTTTATGGCGGCGGATTTTGCGTCTTCCGTGAACCTTCCCTCTCTAACGGTGGAGGGGACAAAAAAAAACGTGAAAAACTGGGTATAAATTTATGATTTCTGCTTCCCTGCATCGCTTTTTTTCGGGAAGGTTTTACAACGACCTAAGGCTGTCATTTTTATTTGGCCACCGCCTCCGTCGCTTTTGAGGTTGGTTGTTACCTCCTTCTGATGTTAAGCCTGGGGACTTTGTGATTTTCTGCTTCCTGGGATGGGGTTCATTCGGAAGAAGGTTGTTGCTTGTTATCATGAAAGATCCACTCGCATAGATGAGTAACGAACGTACGGCGAGATAAGAAATCGAAGACTACATATTTACGTCGCGACGCGCTGTACGATTGTGTATGTAATGGTGTAAGTAAAAGTATTTGCAATCAAGTTGACTATTTTTTTTTGTTCGTGTTCCCAAAATGTAGGTTATCCAATCAAAATGTACATATGACTCACTGCAAGGGGATGTCCATAGACTACGAAGAGCCGGGTATGCTGAGTGTCTGCCTGTGCTACTAGAATTCAAACATTTTTATAAATCAGTTACTGCAAAAAATTAGACGGGCCTGAAGGCCTAAAAAAGCAGTCGATGTGGTTATAGACAGACCCTAATAGCACATACGTGTTGGGTTAAATATAACACTTGAAAGCGAAAATCATACAGTTATCTGAATTTAGACGGGCGAGGCACATCGGAACTGATAAGAACCGTGGTGACTTGGTGCACGAAGAGTACACAAATACCTACATTTTATGAGGTGTGGAAAGTGCTGGCACAGATCCGGTGTTTTCCCATCCAACACTATTGCTAATTATTCTACTTCATGGCTTATTGCGTTATTTATCTATGCCTGCTTTAAACTTTGAGTTCGTTTGTTCATGATAGGTACACGGATAGAAATCTCCTTATACCTTTTGGCAAATTTCCATTACTGATTATTCATAAAATGTATAAGTCAACTAATAAGCAGACGCCTTGCAAAAAGTTAATAAAGATCATGTGTCAAATGAAATGTATAAGCGGTCACACATACCTTTTATGCATTCTAATAGGACCTATGTGGTTTGTTTTATGGAATGTATAAGGTTGATGCTTTGGCAAAAATGTATAAGTGAAACACATGAATTAAATAATTGATTTTCGTTTCGTGTAGGGTAGGTGTTTCAGTAATAGAAGGGTTATTATAGTTGCGTTTTGGTTATGCCAGAATAATATCGAAAAACTAGATAAATTTATTTTTCATCGGTAAATCTCCCAAAATAAAGTAGATTTGCATATTTGCATATTCAAATTTGTTGAAACCAATTAAGTTTCCTAAACATTTTGACTCCTTTGCACGTAAACGCAGTTTGATCCCAAAGGATTCAACTATTATAGGTCCCTCCCCTTGGCTAGTTTTTTAACCTGGACGTTGGTGGGCGGGCCTAATCTTATGCTTCATAGTGGAGCGTTGGAGACGGTTGGTTCAGATCCGGCATCGTTGGCTCATGCCGTGACAGAATAGCGTCATGAGCTTGCGATGAGGTTTACTGAGCTTCCCCTCTCTGATGAACCATTGCATAAGAGAACCAAAGTTCTAGCCTGAAGTGATAGTATCACACTTGTTACTCCTTTAGTTGAAAGCCGCGTCGTAGTACGCTTACGTATAGGCACTGACGTTGGGTGCGATACTGGCGGATTTTGCCGCAAATCACTCTTATTTTATTTATTTTTACGCAGAAAGATTTATTTGGGTTTGCAAGGGAATTATACTATTGAAATATTTCAGAAAGTGCCCAACAGTGCTCCTTCTACTTGCGTGACAAGCTTTCATTGTTGTTTTCGTTGAGGTATTACTCAGGGAACAATGTTAAACACCATTTTTGTACATGGTATTGCAACTAATCTTATATGTATGTGCTTCATTTTGATTTGGGATAAGTGTTTGAACTATGGCTCGGGATTTCCACTGTGGCGTGCTTCTATTGTGACATAACCATACGTATTTTTGAGGTGCGACATAGTGGAAACGTGTGAGCGTAGTTGAAGCATGTACCCTATGTAATTAAAAAAATCAGCTAGGAAACTAACTTCAAAGTGAAGCATTTTAGTCACTTGAAGGTGTCACCTGGGACGAACTAATATATATTAAATATAGGTCAAAGTCAAAAACAACTTGAAACACGTTAAATTTTAGATTACATTCACAAGTGCAGGTACTTAATAAAGCATTGTAGGTAGATTAGAGATTTCAATTATTTATTAAATTAGACTAGAGATATCATAATCATCAAACGAACTTAAATAAAAAAAATTAGACAGCCTAGTAGCATTAAGTGGATTAACAGAAGAGTTAGGATGCGGACGGTCCGCTTAGGGAGGCAACTAGCCTTAAAACAGCTGGCAATTAGTCTTTTCATGTATTGTCTGTTTATTTTGATTATTGCTTTAAAATATCGATTTGGTATATATGTGAAAGGATGAATCAGTGGGAGATGGATTTTCGGTTTCTTTACATTTAGCATCACTATGTGTCATTTCCTCAAAACCCCCCAATAACCGGCCTCTTCAATCCCTTCCTTTTCCCATGGCGTTCAAGTGGTCCGCATAGACTATTCAGCCATTACCCGTCCTTTATCCTCGGCTTTGGATTGACTTGCGCTCCCATTGCCCCACCAAACGCTGCAAAATGAAAGGATTCAACTATTATAGGTACCCTACCGCCACTATAGGTAGTGTTCCTACATGTAATAGTTGAATCTTTTAGAAACCAATGCTTTCCACTATTGTAGGAACCAAAGTTAGAAATTAGCACAACTACTGTAACAGTGTTTCTATTAATTTAGGACGAGTTTTCTAAAAATGTATGCAAGTCAATCGCAATGTAATATGTATGTTTCCAGGAAACATGAGATGGAAAGCTTTTGGTTGGTTGGTTCTCTTTATTAAGGAGATTTTCAGCCAGACGCTGGTTCGTCTCCGTAAGGAACCCAAGTAACATTGCAGGTTTTATCACAGTTTTATAGCATTCTACAAGTCTAAATCATGGTCTACAGAACCCTCATAAAACCAATTTAATTGCGGCAGCATTGTTTTGGATAACGTTCATTATTTTTTTAATAAATAAAATGCCTGATTTCCTCCATTACTGGCTCTTCCACCCTACTCTATGCATAAGAAGTTTCCCTTCCCGAGCAGGAAAAACTAAACTATGAATACTATGAATTCAGGTATGAAAATGGCATACCTGGCAACCTGAATATGGTATTGAGGAGCCTGACATAAGAGGTCAAATACCAAAAATAATGCATCAAAAATATTCTACGAATAACGAACTAATAAATAATTTAGTTATTACAATAACAAACGGTTAACATACGCTTTTTAGATGCCATAATACCATAGTTTGTTATTTTGAAGGTCTTCTAATACCAATTCAATAGCTCTTTTAGGTGTTATTGTCTAAAAACTGAAAGATTATTTTGGTATTCATTTGATATTTAACAACATATTTCGATAACTGAATAATATCAAAACAAGGTTTTATACCAAAAGCATACCAAAATCTGGTATTATACCACATTAAGATATTCATTTGTTATCGATTAGCTATCGGTTCCTGCTCGGGTCCTGCTGTAGGACCACTTCTTCTTCTTCTTCTTCTTCTTCTTCTTCTTCTTCTTCTTCGCATTTCAAGCTTATTGCATATCGCATATTAGCTTATTGCGTGCTCTCAACTTAGTGTTCTAGATGCACTTTCACAGTATTTAATTGAGAGCTTTCGATGCCTGTACCATTTCTGCATTAGTAGATATAATTGTGTGACCAGTACAATCATACTCTATGCCCAGGGAAGTCGAGACATTTTCCAACCCGAAAAATTCCTAGACCGGACCGGGAATTGAACCCAGCAATCATGAAGACGGAACTTTACAAACATCCCAAAACTATTAAAACAGAACGGGAGTTTAAAAAAAAAAATTGGGTAAAAACAACAAAAACACTGGAAAAATCGGATGCACGAAAGATTGATGGGTGGAGTGAAAAGGAAAGTGTGGGCATTGGGTATGGGAGACAAAATTGAATAAAACAAATTTGGTAAGTCATAACTCATTAGTAGTTTTTCGTTCCCTGCAAATTTTAAGAAAATCCGATAATCGGTTTTTGGTGAGTAAATATGTGTCTGTCCCATTTCTATCGAATACACCCTTTACATCGACTTCGCTTTTTTAGCCTTGCCTGAAGATCCCGTGAACTTCTTTGTGGTTACTATGTTTTTCTGAGCTTATCTGAAAGTCCCACGCTTGGGAGCTAAATTTCTCTGAAGCCCTCAGAATTTCTGAAAGATCTTCTAAGGTGGCGATCTTCTGGTGATTTTCATATAAGTTCGAACACTTTACAAGAAGTTATATAGATTTTCTAATAGCTCGAGTCTGGGGAGCTTAAGGGTGTGGCAGGGATCT